AAGTATAAAAAAACAAATCAAAATTTTATTTTACGCTCTATACATACAGTGAGGCCTCTTTAGATATCTGCCTTTTGGGGCCCCCTTCACAGGATGGACATAGACTCATTAGAGAACATACAGAAAAATACAAAAGTTTTACTGTGAAAGGGAACCCCCCGTATAAGATAGACTTAAAGCCTTTAAAACCCCCACTCCTGGGGGGCGAGAATGAGGGAGATATCTTTGAATGTATAAGGGGATGACGGGCATAAAAAAGGGGAGACATTAAAAAGTACGAGGGTGTCAAACAGTAAGAACCGGGAATAATGGTTTTTAAGTTGGAAAAATTTAGATTTAAAAGGACATAGTAAGTTGGTTTTCAAACAGAGTTGTAGATGGGGGAACAGTCTTCCCGTGGGGTGATAGGGGCTAGGACCGGGGTAGTTTTAAGAAGAGAGGCAAATAAATATGGGAGGGGCGGGGTTGTTTGGTGTTGGGGGTGCTGGAGTTGTTTCTGAGTAGCTTTAGGTAGATGTCGTCTTGAAAAGGCCCTGCCTCGTAGGGCCAGTAGGCCTTCTGCGTGTCCTACATTCTTATGTTTTATTTTAACAGGAGGGAATAGGTCAAAAAAACTGAAAGGAGGAACACGCAGCAGCCTGTTGGCCCTACTGGGCGGGTCCTTTTACAATTCATCCACTAACAAACTTTTGCCCAAAACCCAATTTTCGATGCCCCCCAAAAACAGCTCTGATGTGCAAGTCCCTCTCAAACCCAAAACCCCCCCCACTCATGTACTTATCCTTTCTCTTTTCTAAACCCATTCTTTAACAAACCTGAAACATGCAACTTCTTGGGATCTTAATATTGGAATTCTTCGCTTGCCAAATTTTTGGGGCACGCCCTTTGGGCACACCTACTTCCACATTGGACAAAAGTGACACCACCCCACCACGCGCCCTCTCCTGCCTACGGTTTAAAGCTCCTCCCACTTATGCCGTATAATTTTCAAGATTGGGATGGGCCACGCGACTCAAGGGTGAGGACTGATTACCCCCCTTTTTCCTCCTTTTCTTTAAGATTCCCTTTTTAGGACTGATGAACCACTGGGGGCTAAACATGTCGGTTCTCTGAACCATTCACTACTATCAAATTTAGGCAGCTTTATTCCAATGCCTGGGGGATGGGTGACTTCCCAAAAAAACCGCCTTTATAGTTAGTAGGCCCCCTCAGTGTTCCTCCCTTCTTTTTACTTATATATACACTTAATAACACATAGGCATCGTGATACACCACTGTAAATTTTTGTACACTTTTATATCTATCATACAGGGAGGAGTTTGAGGTAATCAGTCCCTCACCATAAGAACAAAGAACATAAGAAAAAGGGGGAACCTGCAGCGGGCCCGTTGGCCCTACTAGGGAGGTCCTTTAAATTTATCCCTAACAAACATTTCACCAACCCCAATTTTTTAATGCTACCCCCAAAAAAAAACTCGAAGTTGGTTTTTGAAAGACACTAAGCAAACACTATAACATATTTATTAGAAAACGTTTCGGTCCTGGGACCTTGATCACTTCTAACATACAGAGGTAGAAAGACATTATATATATATAGGCGGAGAGTCACAGCCCTCTTTACCAACGTTCCTACTGACGCTGCAATCAACATTCTGAGACAGAGGCTCACTGAAAACCACGACCTCCCTTTACCTCTTCTAGATTTCATCAATCTAGTGGAACTGTGTGTTAATTTCAACTTCTTCAAGTATCAGGACAACTGTTACAAACAATGCTTTGGGATGGCAATGGGCAGCCCGCTCAGTGCTGTGCTTGCCAACCTCTTCATGGAAAACTTGGAGACAGAGAAATTCAGCACCCTCATTCCCAACACCGTTACCTGGCTAAGATACGTTGATGATATATTGGTTTTCTATCCAAGACGTCTCCAATATCCAGGCCCTTCTCAACAAGATCAATGCAGTTGAACCATCAATAAAGTTTACACTTGAACTCGAAAATGATGGCAAACTTCCTTTCCTCGACGTTCTACTCTGCAGATCTCCCGACAGTGACAAACTTCTCTTCAAAGTGTATAGAAAACCTACCAACAAGGACGATCTTATACACTTTTATTCACACCAAGATACCCGCACTAAGAGAGGAGTCCTCATTGGCTTCTTCTTGAGAGCTCTTCGCATCTCCAGCCCTTGTTTTCTAGAAGAAGAATGCACTTACATAACACAAGCCTTTACACGTCTTCAGTTCCCATCTTTCTTCATCCGAGATTGCAGACTCAAGGCACAAGCTATCCTCAACAAACCGCCCATGGAACAGCCCCCTAAACAGTTCATAGTACTCCCATGTGGCGATGTTGCCACGAATACTCGCCGGGCACTTGCTATGAGTAACATCAACGTTTCCACCATAAACACATCCTCTATCAAAGACCTCACTACTAAACGCAGCCCCACACCTCTAACTTCTACAGCAGGCGTCTACACGATCCCCTGTGGGTTCTGTCCCAAGAAATATGTAGGCGAGACAGGCAGAGATCTTGCAGTCCGCCTGAATGAGCATCGAAATGCCTCTAACAGAGACGATGTAAGGTACGCCTGTGTCCTCCACAGAGACTCAACGGGGCATTTGATGAACTGGAACGAGGCACAACTCGTTCTCACCGAACCAGACCTCAGACGCCGACGGTGCCTAGAAGCCTCACTAATCACCGTCACCGACACTATAGAACGCAACACTGGAAACTACAAAATTTCAAAAACATTGGCATACATGATACTTAAGCAGCACCAACCCAACAACACAGGAGTCACATGATTTCATCGTCTACTGGTCCTCATCATAGACAGAGGTTGTTTTGATAAGGACCTGCCTCGCATGGGCCAGTAGGCCTTCTACAGTGTTCCTCCATTCTTATGTTCTTATGACATTCCTCAGGTCACGTGCGTCACATCTCACTCTCCGCCTATATATATATAATGTCTTTCTACCTCTGTATGTTAGAAGTGATCAAGGTCCCAGGACCGAAACGTTTTCTAATAAATATGTTATAGTGTTTGCTTACGTGTCTTTCTAAACCAACTTGTCGGTATTTATTACCAAGGTTTATACCAAGCTCTGATGTGCAAGTCCCACTCAAATCCAACCCTTCCCACTCATGTATTTATCCATCTACAAGATTGATGGACTGAACACATCGACTCCAGGCTGAGGGACTGATTACCTCAAACTCCTCCTCTCCTTATGCCTTTCTACTTTGTATCGGACTGATGAAGCCACTGTGTGGCGAAACGTTTCCTGAATAAAGATTCCCATATGCTGCATAAGTGTCTCAATCTTCAACTTGTCGGTTTTTCAAACCATTCATCACATCCATTCATACATGAATGGTGAAGGGCGCAATATAGTAAGGCCCTTGATGCCTGACCTGACCACCAAGTTGATGTTATAAATACCTGGACTGTGATGGCTGCCAGTCACTTGGTGACTTGTGCCACCGACTATCCTCCAGTTACTCTCTGACCTGAGTGATTATCTGACCTGTGGCCTTCCTGGCACGTTTCGGCTATGGAGTATTTCAACAAGGTTGAGCAGCTGTGTGACGAGCTTTCCACACTGCTAAAGACTGTGATTACTTATATACATCTGGAGGAGTTCCAGGAGAAGCTTAAGCGTTATACACGGGACACTGAGACCAGAAATAGTGGTAAGTGCTTTGATTTAAGATTTAAGTATGTCATGCCTAGTATGGGCAGTATGCCCTGCCTAGGAGTTTGAGATAATCGGTCCTTCAGCCTTGCATTCCTACAAGAGTGATGGACTGAACACATCGATTCCAGGTTGAGGGACTGATTACCTCAAAACTTCTACTCTCCTTACCCATTTCTACTTTGTATTGGACTGATGAAGTCACTGTGTGGCGAAACGTTTCTTCAATAAAGATTCCCATGTGTTGCATAAGTGTCTCAATTCTTCAACTTGTCGGTTTTCAAAACCATTCATCACACTTGCATTGGACCGATGAAGCCACTGTGTGGCGAAACGTTTCACTAGTAGTTGCATAATTTATCAACTTGTTGGTTCTCTGAACCATTTATCTATAGTAGGCCTACTACTGAGAAACACTCCAGTAAGCCTATTTACTCATGTTAGGCAGGTTGTTCTCACTCCTACATTTAAAGGTACTGAAGTTGCAAGGTTGAGTGACCTGACTAGGTTGGGTGCATTGGCTTAAGCCAGTAGGAGACTTGGACCTGCCTCGCATGGGCCAGTAGGCCTTCTGCAGTGTTCCATCGTTCTTATGTTCTTATGTCAAACCATACCCCGGCCGGGATTGAACCCGCGGTCACAGTCTCAAAACTGTTCAGTTTTGCAATATTGACTGAACATAAGAATGGGGGAACACTTGCCCATAAGGCAGGTCCTTATCAAAACCACCACCTACCCAAAGCATTTACTCCCGTACCCACGACACCAGTCAAACCCAGCCCCTCCCACTCATATATTTGTCCAATCTCTTCAAGCTACCCAAGGTCCTAGCCTCGATCACCCTGTGACGAATGGTTTGAAAAACAGACAAGTTGATCAACTCGATCACCCTACTCGGAAGACTGTTCCACGCATCCACAACTCTAAAAAACAGTACTTACCTAGGTCTTTTCTAAATCTAAATTTATCCAACTTAAATCCATTATTTCTGGTTCTTACCTGGTTCGACACCCTCAGTACTTTATTAATGTCTCCCTTGTTTATGCCCGTCATCCACTTATACACTTCAATGATATCTCCCCTGAACATTAAAATGGTATAAAATACCGACAGGTTGTTAGGTAAGACACACATGCAACAGTTAGGTATCTTTATTTCGAAACGTTTCGCCTACACAGTAGGCTTCTTCAGTCGAGTACAGAAAAGTTGATAGAAGCAGAAGATACTTGAAGACGATGTAATCAGTCATCACCCTTAAAGTTTTGAGGTGGTCAGTCCCTCAGTCTGGAGAAGAGCATTGTTCCGTTGTCTGAAACAATATGCTTCTATCAACTTTTCTGTACTCGACTGAAGAAGCCTACTGTGTAGGCGAAACGTTTCGAAATAAAGATACCTAACTGTTGCATATGTGTCTTACCTAACATACCTTACTGTTGCATATGTGTCTTGCCTAACAAGTTTAATGTGGATAAGTGTAAGGTACTTGCCCTTGGTAATGAAAATAACCCTCGAAGCTATAATCTAGGTGAAGTAGAGCTTGGTCATACAGAATGTGAAAAAGACTTGGGAGTCATGGTAAGCAGAAATCTAAAGCCAAGACAGCAGTGCCTCAGTGTGCGCAACAAGGCCAACAGATTACTTGGATTTATCTCAAGAAGTATAAGTAACAGAAGGCCAAAAGTTATTTTACAGCTCTGGTGTCCTGGTGGTTAACGCTCTGGCTTCACACGGTGAGGGCCTGGGTTCGATTCCCAGCCAGAATAGAAACATTGGACGTGTTTCTTTCCACCTGTTGTCTATGTTCCCCATCAGTAAAATGGGTACCTGGGTGTTAGTCGACTGGTGTGGGTCGCATCCTGGGACCCGGTCACAGACCGGGCCGCGGGGGCGTTGACCCCCGGAACTCTCTCCAGGTAATCACTAGTGAGGCCTCATTTGGATTATGCTGCTCAGTTTTGGTCCCCTTACTACAGGATGGACATAGACTCATTAGAGAACATACAGAGAAGAATGACTAAAATGATTTACTGTGTAAGGAACCTCCCGTATGAAGATAGACTTAAAGCCTTAAATCTCCACTCTCTGGAGAGGCGTAGAATGAGGGGAGATATCGTTAGGTAAGACACATATGCAACAGTTAGGTATCTTTATTTCGAAACGTTTCGCCTACACAGTAGGCTTCTTCAGTCGAGTACAGAAAAGTTGATAGAAGCATATTGTTTCAGACAACGGAACAATGCTCTTCTCCAGACTGAGGGACTGACCACCTCAAAACTTTAAGGGTGATGACTGATTACATCGTCTTCAAGTATCTTCTGCTTCTATCAACTTTTCTGTACTCGACTGAAGAAGCCTACTGTGTAGGCGAAACGTTTCATAATAAAGATACCTAACTGTTGCATATGTGTCTTACCTACCAACCTGTCGGTATTTTATACCATTTTAATGTCCACATTAAACTTCATCTGCCATTTCTCAGACCAAGACATTAATTTGTTCAAATCGTCCTGGAGTTCATTGATATCCTCCTCAGAGTGAATTATACGGCCTAGACAGGTAGATTGTAAAGTAAAAGGACACAAGTGCAAGTACTGTGACATTTTATTGTGGCAACGTTTCGCTCTCCTTTCGCTTCTGGAGAGCGAAACGTTGCCACAATAAAATGTCACATTAGTTGCACTTGTGTCCTTTAACTTTGCATATTATCGGTAATTATACCAACATTATGACAGGTAGATTGTTAAAGTTGCGAGGTTGGTACCCCCGTTTGACCCCCATGTCCCTTTGTCCCCATGTCCCTTTGTCCCCATGTCCCTTTGTGTGTGTGGGAAACAAGCAGGTTGCAACACTTGGGTTGGAAACAGTAAATGTATAAAAGGCATTCAGCATGAAGTTATAAATAAAGACAATAGAACAGGTCAGAAAACAAAGGGGGACAGCAGAGGGCAGCAAGGGACTAGCTCCCTTAAGGTTTACTATACTAATAGCAGGAGTGTAAGAAATAAGATAGATGAGCTAAGATTAATTGCAAGTGCAGGAAACATAGATATTATTGCTATAACAGAGACCTGGCTTAATCTGAAAGATAGAGAGATGCCCTCTGAATGTCACATACAAGGCTATAAATTATTCCACACTGACAGGGTCAACAGGAAAGGTGGTGGAGTAGCGATGTATGTCAGAGACAATTTAAATTGTTGTGTTAGACAAGATATTAAATTAGAAGCGTCAGCCACTGAATCTGTTTGGTTACAGCTTCTCGAGGGCCGAGAAAAACTAATTTTGGTGTGATTTACAGGGCCCCAAATCTTGATAAGGAGTGCAGTAAACTTCTATGGGACGAAATTCGTAAGGCATCTACATACGAAAATGTTGTGCTAATGGGAGATTTCAACTATAGACAGATTGACTGGAGCAATTTGACAGGAAATTTAGAGTCAGGTGACTTTCTTGATACGATCCAGGATTGTTTTTTAAAACAGTTTGTGACAGAGCCAACTAGGGGAAAATAACCTCCTTGACTTGGTTCTTGCCAGTAGGAAACACTAATTAATAATCTTGAGGTTAATGATGAGCTTGGGGAAAGTGATCACAAATCACTCAGTTTTAATATATCATGGAATTCCCCTAATAATGGCAATCAAGTCTCCGTCCCTGACTTTCGCTTGGCTGATTTCATAGGACTGAAAAATTACTTAGGTGGGCTGAACTGGAATGACCTGACTAAGGGTCAGGTAGGTGGTGATGGTTGCCGATATGATGCTTTCCAGGGCATAATTCTAGCTGCTCAGTCAAATTATGTTCCAAATAGGGAAATCAGATCAAACAAAAATGATCCTAAATGGATGAACAATAGATTAAAATATCTGATTGGTCAAAAGAGAGGCATATATAGGCAAATCAAAAGAGGAGAGGGGCAATTGAGAAATCGATATATTCAGTTAAAGAGAGAAATAAAAAAAGGGAATTAGAAAAGCAAAAAGAGATTATGAGGTTAAAGTTGCAAGAGAATCGAAGACTAACCCAAAAGGATTCTTTCAGGTATACAGAAGTAAGATCAGGGACAAGATAGGCCCACTCAAAAGTTCCTCGGGTCAGCTCACTGACAGTGATAAGGAAATGTGTAGAATTTTTAAACACATACTTCCTCTCAGTTTTTACACAGGAGGATACCAGCGATATTCCAGTAATGATAAATTATGTAGAACAGGACGATAATAAACTGTGCACTATTAGGGTCACAAGTGACATGGTCCTTAGGCAAATAGATAAATTAAAACCTAACAAATCCCCAGGCCCTGATGAACTGTATGCAAGGGTTCTAAAGGAATGTAAAGAGGAGCTTAGCACACCTTTGGCTAATCTTTTCAACATATCACTACAAACTGGCATGGTGCCAGATAAGTGGAAAATGGCAGATGTGATACCTATTTTCAAAACAGGTGACAGGTCCTTAGCTTCGAACTATAGACCAATAAGCCTAACCTCCATAGTGGGAAAATTTATGGAATCAATAATTGCCGAGGCAGTTCGTAGCCACCTTGAAAAGCATAAATTAATCAACGAATCTCAGCATGGTTTTACAAAGGGGCGTTCCTGCCTTACGAATTTATTAACTTTTTTCACTAAGGTATTTGAGGAGGTAGATCATGGTAATGAATATGATATTGTGTATATGGACTTCAGTAAGGCTTTTGACAGGGTCCCACATCAGAGACTATTGAGGAAAATTAAAGCACATGGAATAGGAGGAAAAATTTTTTCCTGGATAGAGGCATGGTTGACAAATAGGCAGCAGAGAGTTTGCATAAATGGGGAGAAATCAGAGTGGGGAAGCGTCACGAGCGGGTGTTCCACAGGGGTCAGTGTTGGGCCCCCTGCTGTTCACATCTACATAAACGACATAGATGAGGGCATAAAGAGCGACATCGGCAGTTTGCCGATGACACCAAAATAGGCCGTCGAATTCATTCTGACGAGGACATTAGAGCACTCCAGGAAGATTTGAATAGACTGATGCAGTGGTCGGAGAAGTGGCAGATGCAGTTTAATATAGACAAATGCAAAGTTCTAAATGTTGGACAGGACAATAACCATGCCACATATAAACTAAATAATGTAGATCTTAATATTACGGATTGCGAAAAAGATTTAGGAGTTCTGGTTAGCAGTAATCTGAAACCAAGACAACAGTGCATAAGTGTTCGCAATAAAGCTAATAGAATCCTTGGCTTCATATCAAGAAGCATAAATAATAGGAGTCCTCAGGTTGTTCTTCAACTCTATACATCCTTGGTTAGGCCTCATTTAGATTATGCGGCACAGTTTGGTCACCGTATTACAGAATGGATATAAATTCTCTGGAAAATGTACAAAGGAGGATGACAAAGTTGATCCCATGTATCAGAAACCTTCCCTATGAGGATAGACTGAAGGCCCTGAAACTGCACTCTCTAGAAAGACGTAGAATTAGGGGGGATATGATTGAGGTGTATAAATGGAAGACAGGAATAAATAAAGGGGATGTAAATAGTGTGCTGAAAATATCTAGCCTAGACAGGACTCGCAGCAATGGTTTTAAGTTGGAAAAATTCAGATTCAGGAAGGATATAGGAAAGTACTGGTTTGGTAATAGAGTTGTGGATGAGTGGAACAAACTCCCAAGTACCGTTATAGAGGCCAGAACGTTGTGTAGCTTTAAAAATAGGTTGGATAAATACATGAGTAGATGTGGGTGGGTGTGAGTTAGACCTGATAGCTTGTGCTAACAGGTCGGTTGCCGTGTTCCTCCCTTAAGTCAATGTGACCTGACCTGACTAGGTTGGGTGCATTGGCTTAAGCCGGTAGGAGACTTGGACCTGCCTCGCATGGGCCAGTAGGCCTTCTGCAGTGTTCCTTCGTTCTTATGTTCTTATGTCCCTCTGTCCCCCATGTCCCTGTCCCCAATGTGTACCCCGGTTTGACCACACGTCTCCCTCCGTCTGACCCCTATGGGTCCCCCATGTCCCTCCGTCTCTCCCCCTGTGTCCCTCCGTCAGACCCCTGTGTGTCCCTGCTTGACCCCTATGTATCCCCCATCTGAGACCTATGTGTCACCTGTGTCCCCCCATATCTGTCCCCCTGTGTGTCCCTCCGTCTGACCCCTATATCCCCCCATGTCTGTCCCTCATCTGACCCCTGTGTATCCCCTTGTATCTGTTCCACTCATCCACTACTAGGCAGACTGGTCTAGCAATACATATCCTACTGTCGTACTCTAACTCCTGTCCCCTCAGTAACATGTACCATTCTTGAAGTCTGGTGTTGCAATACTGCAAGTGTTGTGTTGCAGATGAGAGCAGTGCAGCAGTGTGGAGGTTGCAGGAAGCAGAGACTAAAAGTCTTGAACAGCACCAGCAGAAGGTCCAGCAGCTAGAGCACCAACACCGGGAAGCACTGGACAAACTTGCTAAGCAACACCAGCATGAAATAGATCTAGGTTAGTTAGTTACTGTATTAACATTGTATATCTTAATGAACATTGTTATAGTGGTAATATAATGATACAGTAATGCACCTTGTGGATGTAATTCAAGAATACAGTAGTATACATTATAGAGGAAATAATACAGTATAAAAAATGATTTATTTTGCCCTCAGCACTGGAGAAACACAGAAAGGAACTGTCTCAGTTTGCTGAGGACCAGCAGAACCAGGTACAGTACCTGTTTTGTTCTTGTTTTGCCAGTACAGTACTTGTTTTGTTCTTGTTTTGCCAGTACAGTACTTGTTTTGTTCTTGTTTTGCCAGTACAGTACTTGTTTTGTTCTTGTTGTGCCAGTACAGTACCTGTTTTGTTCTTGTTTTGCCAGTACAGTACTTGTTTTGTTCTTGTTGTGCCAGTACAGTACTTGTTTTGTTCTTGTTTTGCCAGTACAGTACTTGTTTTGTTCTTGTTTTGCCAGTACAGTACTTGTTTTGTTCTTGTTTTGCCAGTACAGTACTTGTTTTGTTCTAATTATGAAGGTTTGATACCTGAAATATACATAGGTCACTTTCTTACATTAGTATAAGCTATAGTTCACTTAATTTACTATATTCTATTTGTGGCAGCGGGAGGCACTGAGTCGAGCCCATGGCGCTGAAGTGGAACAACTGGAAGGTGAATGGCGGAACAAACTTGATGTTCAACATGAGAAACACATGTGTTCTCTACAGGAACTTAACACCCAACACACACACAAGGTAAACTTTAAGTTTTGTAAGTGTTTGTGTCTGCTGGAGCCTAGTGTGTGCGTCTGTTTGCTTTCTGGTGGATGTGGCTTTGTAGAAGGCAGTTATTGTGGCTTTGTAGAAGGCAGTTATTGTGGCTTTGTGGAAGGCAGTTGTTGTGGCTTTGTGGAAGGCAGTTATTGTGGCTTTGTAGAAGGCAGTTATTGTGGCTTTGTGGAAGGCAGTTATTGTGGCTTTGTAGAAGGCAGTTATTGTGGCTTTGTAGAAGGCAGTTATTGTGGCTTTGTGGAAGGCAGTTGTTGTGGCTTTGTGGAAGGCAGTTGTTGTGGCTTTGTAGAAGGCAGTTATTGTGGCTTTGTGGAAGGCAGTTATTGTGGCTTTGTAGAAGGCAGTTATTGTGGCTTTGTAGAAGGCAGTTATTGTGGCTTTGTGGAAGGCAGTTATTGTGGCTTTGTAGAAGGCAGTTATTGTGGCTTTGTAGATGGCAGTTATTGTGGCTTTGTAGAAGGCAGTTATTGTGGCTTTGTGGAAGGCAGTTATTGTGGCTTTGTAGAAGGCAGTTATTGTGGCTTTGTAGAAGGCAGTTATTGTGGCTTTGTAGAAGGCAGTTATTGTGGCTTTGTGGAAGGCAGTTATTGTGGCTTTGTGGAAGGCAGTTATTGTGGCTTTGTAGATGGCAGTTATTGTGGCTTTGTAGATGGCAGTTATTGTGGCTTTGTAGATGGCAGTTATTGTGGCTTTGTAGAAGGCAGTTATTGTGGCTTTGTAGAAGGCAGTTATTGTGGCTTTGTAGAAGGCAGTTATTGTGGCTTTGTAGATGGCAGTTATTGTGGCTTTGTAGATGGCAGTTATTGTGGCTTTGTAGATGGCAGTTATTGTGGCTTTGTAGATGGCAGTTATTGTGGCTTTGTGGAAGGCAGTTATTGTGGCTTTGTGGAAGGCAGTTATTGTGGCTTTGTAGATGGCAGTTATTGTGGCTTTGTAGATGGCAGTTATTGTGGCTTTGTAGAAGGCAGTTATTGTGGCTTTGTGAAGGCAGTTATTGTGGCTTTGTGGAAGGCAGTTATTGTGGCTTTGTGGAGGCAGTTATTGTGGCTTTGTGGAAGGCAGTTATTGTGGCTTTGTGGAAGGCAGTTATTGTGGCTTTGTAGATGGCAGTTATTGTGGCTTTGTGGAAGGCAGTTATTGTGGCTTTGTGGAAGGCAGTTATTGTGGCTTTGTAGATGGCAGTTATTGTGGCTTGTAGATGGCAGTTATTGTGGCTTTGTAGATGGCAGTTATTGTGGCTTTGTAGATGGCAGTTATTGTGGCTTTGTAGATGACAATTACTGTGGCTTTGTAGATGGCAGTTATTGTGGCTTTGTAGATGGCAGTTATTGTGGCTTTGTAGATGGCAGTTATTGTGGCTTTGTAGATGGCAATTATTGTGGCTTTGTAGATGGCAGTTATTGTGGCTTTGTGGAAGGCAGTTATTGTGGCTTTGTAGAAGGCAGTTATTGTGGCTTTGTGGAAGGCAGTTATTGTGGCTTTGTGGAAGGCAGTTATTGTGGCTTTGTGGAAGGCAGTTATTGTGGCTTTGTGGAAGGCAGTTATTGTGGCTTTGTAGATGGCAGTTATTGTGGCTTTGTAGATGGCAGTTATTGTGGCTTTGTAGATGGCAGTTATTGTGGCTTTGTAGATGGCAGTTATTGTGGCTTTGTAGATGGCAGTTATTGTGGCTTTGTAGAAGGCAGTTATTGTGGCTTTGTGGAAGGCAGTTATTGTGGCTTTGTGGAAGGCAGTTATTGTGGCTTTTGTAGAAGGCAGTTATTGTGGCTTTGTGGAAGGCAGTTATTGTGGCTTTGTGGAAGGCAGTTATTGTGGCTTTGTGGAAGGCAGTTATTGTGGCTTTGTGGAAGGCAGTTATTGTGGCTTTGTGGAAGGCAGTTATTGTGGCTTTGTAGATGGCAGTTATTGTGGCTTTGTAGATGGCAGTTATTGTGGCTTTGTGGAAGGCAGTTATTGTGGCTTTGTAGAAGGCAGTTATTGTGGCTTTGTGGAAGGCAGTTATTGTGGCTTTGTGGAAGGCAGTTATTGTGGCTTTTGTGGAAGGCAGTTATTGTGGCTTTTGTGGATGGCAGTTATTGTGGCTTTTGTGGAAGGCAGTTATTGTGGCTTTTGTGGAAGGCAGTTATTGTGGCTTTTGTGGATGGCAGTTATTGTGGCTTTTGTGGAAGGCAGTTATTGTGGCTTTTGTGGATGGCAGTCACTTTGGCAGTTATTGTAGAAGGCAGTTACTGTGGCTTTACCACAAACATTCATGGTTATGCACCTTAACAAACTTACTGGTTTAACTCGTTTTTCCAGTTGCGAGAACTGGAGTCATCTCGAAGAGCCCGGGAACGCGAACTGGAAGAGGCGAACTTCCGCTTGCTACAAGACCAAGAAGCTCTGAAGATCGAGTCCAAGAAGCTAGAGGAGACTCTTCTTAACGACACAGATCACAGACTGCAAGCTGTGCGCAACATGTGCTCCTCCCTCAAGAGTGAGGTGAGACATAATGTGCAGAGATAATAGATGGATAACATAAGATAATAGAGATGGATAGTGTAGAGAGATAATAGACATAATGTAGAAAGATAATAGAAATGGATAATTTAAATAGTAATAGTGTAATGTATTATACAATTGTATAATATATTACACTAAAATACACTATTATACAGTTGTATAACACATTATTACACTAAAATACAGCTGTATAATACATTATTACACTAAAATACAGTTGTATAATACATTATTACACTAAAATACAGCTGTATAATACATTATTACACTAAAATACAGCTGTATAATACATTATTACACTAAAATACAGTTGTATAATACATTATTACACTAAAATACAATTTTAAATGTATATTGAATGATGTGATTGAGATATATTGTCAATATTAATATTACAATGTCTGCAGGTGGACTCCCTGAAAACCGTCGTGGAAATGAAGAACGCAGAAATTCACGACCTGCGCGGCCAGGTAATAGAGATGGAGAGACTATCCAGTGAGCTGGAGATGGCTAGAGATAGAGCCAAGGCTCTCCAAGCCAAGACAGAGGATCTCCAAGCTCAGATGGAGAAGAAAGCTCTAAAAGAAAGGTCAGAATTTAGAGTTTACCAATTATTATTTTACATAACTAAGTACTAAACCCACAAGGGTCTTACAATGCTAGTGTTTACCAAATGTTGAAAATAGTATAAAATACCGAGGTGTGTCGAATTTTTTTTTTATTGAAATGTTTCATACACAGTAGGCCTATTTAGTCAAATACAGAAGCAGTAATAAATATGTGCCTTATTCATCAACTAATCTAATAGGCTAGACTAGTCAGATTTTATATTGATTTTCTAGATTTTTTCGAAAGTTACTTTTGAATTCTTGTTTTCAAATGGGTTTGTAAAGTAAAAGGACACAAGTGCAACTAATGTGACATTTATTGTGGCAACGTTTCGCTCTCCAGGAGCTTTGATAAAGCTCCTGGAGAGCGAAACGTTGCCACAATAAATGTCACATTAGTTGCACTTGTGTCCTTTTACTTTACATATTGTCGGTAATTCTACCAACTTTATTTCAAATGAGTTTATTATTAACTTGATTGTTTAGGCTTGTCGGATTGCATATTGATATTCAAGATTTTTTCAGCAGTTTTGAATGCTCATTTTCAAATGAGTTTTTTGTTAACATTAACTTAAATACTAGGTAAGACTAGTCAACTTGCATACTAATATTCTAAATTTTTTTCAAAACTTATTTTTCAGTCCTTGACCTCGGATGATTTTTTTATACTAACGTTAAAAACTCTGGTGCTAGAAATGACATTAAATAGTACTTAGTGCTTCTAAGTTTCCTAACATCAGTTTAGAAAACTGGGGAGTATATTACCTAGACATGTACAATACTTGGGTATCTAGTAATGGGGTAAAGTGCCCTTGTGTACACTTTAGGACGTTAAAGAAATCATTTTGACGGTCACCCTGCCAAAAATAATAATAGGAGTTTTGATAAATTGCTGTTTAATAATTGTAGTGTAGGCACACCTCTGGTAAGACAGTGATGGAGTGAACAATGGTGAAGGTTTTTCTTTTTTGGGCCACCCTGCCTTGGTGGGAAACAGCTAATGTGTTCGGTGAAAAAAATAATCTGAATTTAAATGTCATTGGATAATATGTGCTAATTTTTTTTCCAATACACTGGCCAGGGTGACCTAAAAGGAAAAACAAAATTTTTCCTTTCAAATTTAGTAATTTATACAAGAGGTGTTACTAGCACCTTGTGACAGGCATTTTAATTACCTCCGTATTTGCTAATACATCAATATTGATATTAATGTGTATATTTTTACCATTCAGACATCTTGTGAACGAGCACAGACTGCTGGTTGAAACCTACCAGAGAGAATCTAATGCCAACAAGCGTCTCAGCTTAGAAAACGAAGAACTGGCGTGGAAACTAAGACAGCGAGAGGAGATCATGTCCACCTCTATGCCTGCTTCCACTCTTGGTATGTTGCACTCATATTAAGTTGTAGCAAACAACTGTCTATGAATACACGGATGGATGGACGGGAGGTGGGAACCACTGGACTCTAAATTTATGGACCACAGTTTGTGCCTCCCGTCTATCCTTCTCTTGGTACGCTGATTGTATTTCAATACTTTTTTGTAATTACTGTAAATTATAAATTGACTACCTTCTTACTCCATGAAGTGACTGAACTTGTTCCCTCAAATTATTGGCAAATAACATTAACCAAAAAATTCCATCATAAAAAAACAAATAGTATAATTATATGAGATTATACTGTGTTGTTTCTATGATTTATTGATGAATAATGTACAATACCTTATTAAGAAATATTTAAAGAATATTTACACTTAATTGCTTTTACACTATGTTTGTGTATTGTATATTACTGTTGAGAAGTACAGTGCCTGTACTCTGAAGGATGAGTGAGGATGTTACAGTCCTGGAGGTGGGAAGTACAGTACCTGTACTCTGAAGGATGAGTGAGGATGTTACAGTCCTGGAGGTGGGAAGTACAGTACCTGTACTCTGAAGGATGAGTGAGGATGTTACAGTTCTGGAGGTGGGAAGTACAGTACCTGTACTCTGAAGGATGAGTGAGGATGTTACAGTTCTGGAGGTGGGAAGTACAGTGCCTGTACTCTGAAGGATGAGTGAGGATGTTACAGTTCTGGAGGTGGGAAGTACAGTACCTGTACTCTGAAGGCTGAGTGAGGATGTTACAGTTCTGGAGGTGGGAAGTACAGTACCTGTACTCTGAAGGATGAGTGAGGATGTTACAGTTCTGGAGGTGGGAAGTACAGTACCTGTACTCTGAAGGATGAGTGAGGATGTTACAGTTCTGGAGGTGGGAAGTACAGTGTCTGTACTCTGAAGGATGAGTGAGGATGTTACAGTTCTGGAGGTGGGAAGTACAGTACCTGTACTCTGAAGGATGAGTGAGGATGTTACAGTTCTGGAGGTGGGAAGTACAGTGCCTGTACTCTGAAGGATGAGTGAGGATGTTACAGTTCTGGAGGTGGGAAGTACAGTACCTGTACTCTGAAGGCTGAGTGAGGATGTTACAGTTCTGGAGGTGGGAAGTACAGTACCTGTACTCTGAAGGATGAGTGAGGATGTTACAGTTCTGGAGGTGGGAAGTACAGTACCTGTATCTGAAGGATGAGTGAGGATGTTACAGTCCTGGAGGTGGGAAGTACAGTACCTGTACTCTGAAGGATGAGTGAGGATGTTACAGTTCTGGAGGTGGGAAGTACAGTACCTGTACTCTGAAGGATGAGTGAGGATGTTACAGTTCTGGAGGTGGGAAGTACAGTACCTGTACTCTGAAGGATGAGTGAGGATGTTACAGTTCTGGAGGTGGGAAGTACAGTACCTGTACTCTGAAGGATGAGTGAGGATGTTACAGTTCGGGAGGTGGGAAGTACAGTACCTGTACTCTGAAGGATGAGTGAGGATGTTACAGTCCTGGAGGTGGGAAGTACAGTACCTGTACTCTGAAGGATAAGTGAGGATGTTACAGTCCTGGAGGTGGGAAGTACAGTACCTGTACTCTGAAGGATAAGTGAGGATGTTACAGATGTAGCAGTTTTATAACTGTAGTGCGGTCACGCCTCTGGCAAGACAGTGATGGAGTGAATGATGATGAAAGTGTTTCTTCTTTTTCGAGTCACCTCGCTGCCTTGGTGGGAAACGACCAATGTGTTAATAATAAGAAAACTAACTAAATACCAGTATTGAAAAGTAAATAAATAAATACAAGTTAGGGACTTGTCTACTTCATGTTGGGTAATTATTTTAAGTCTCATCTCCAAAGTAATAAAATAATAATAGTGGGAACTTGTTAATTTTGTGAGTGCACAAAAGTTATCACAGTCCGTTGTCACGTGTTAAAGAAAAGTTTCCTGATTTTTTTTAGTTTGCATTTATAACCGTCTAGTTTACAATCACTTGTAATTTTCTAGTTATCCGGAATGCATTTACAACTGTCTAGTTTACAGTCGCAAGTAATTTTGTCTAGATCTCCTAAACAGGTTTATATCCGTGTGGGTTACAATCGTAAGCAATTTTCTATCTATCCTAAATGGGTTATAAGTATTAATGTATCATAGTCAATTCCTACTGCTCTGGTATTTACAGTATATAACATTGGCCGCTAGACGGCCAATAAAGAATTAAGGTTAAGAATGTTAGCGTGAATGATTCTTGGGGATTTTATATTCCATTTTTCGTAGTTACATCTCTCCTTGGATGAATAACAGATGTAATGACTGAGGCTTAGGAATGTAATTCACAACTTGTTACTATATCTCATCCCTTGATACTCTCTCCCTACATTAACCCTCTCTCTCCATCTCCATTAGTACTTTTTAACTACCATAAAGGTATATATGTACTTGTATTATTGCAGGTATGAAAGTATATAGCATAGCACTCTTGCAGTCTTAACATACATTAAGGTTTTGTAGTTATGAATAGTACTATGTATTTCTTTTCCTTTGGTGTCATTTTTTATATTCCCTCTCTTATATTGCTAGTTTCTTATGTACATTCTTATTTCTTTCTTCCACTTTGTAGTTATATATATACTGTATTTCTTTTTTTCTTTGGTGTTGAATCTTTATCTCCTCTTAAACTGCTAGTTTTATCTTGAGAATTCTTTCTGTCCGTTTTTGTTTACTTTCTCGGCAAGTTTGCCAAGCGATCGTGTAGGTTAAATCATTCAAAGTCTCAACTTTCCTTACTGTTCTTGTTGGATCTCCACTCCATACACAATTACGTCATTTACTAACATTTTCTGAGTTATTCTATGAAATTTTGAGTGTTAGGTACAGACGGTACAGATGGTTCTTAACTTACAATGGGGTTACATTCCGATAAACCCACCATAGGTCGAAAATATCTTGTCAAATAATTACTGTAATTAACTAAATACCAGTATTGTAAAGTAAATAAATGAAAGCAACAGTAGTTACCCAACACCTTCATGTTGGGTAACTACTTTTATGCCATTAAAGTCAAAATATTGTAAGTCAAGGAGCACCTGTATTTCACTAATCATGTCCTGGTTTTTTCAAAATACAGTGGACCCCCGGTTTACGATATTATTTCATTCCAGAAGTATGTTCAGGTGCCAGTACTGACCGAATTTGTTCCCATAAGGAATATTGTGAATTAGATTAGTCCATTTCAGACCCCCAAACATACACGTACAAACGCACTTACATAATTGGTCGCATTGGGAGCTGATCGTAAACCTCAGTCCACTGTATATGGAAGACTTTGCATGGATATAAGTTGAAATAAAACACTGTTCAGAGAAGCAAGAATAGAAAGAAAAGGGTCTAATTTTGCAGGTTGCTAGCATATTGTGCATGAATTAACAGCCAGAGTTATAACTTAGCCACGAGTGTCACTTGTAAGGGCAGTATTTAAACACATAACCTCTTTACAAGGCTTCAGATGGATTTTCGGAAGGAGTAGAAAAGGTAGATCCACGTTTTGTTCACTGATCTACATTTTTCCGTATACTTCAAGTTTTGGTTTCTTCATTGGGGCGCTTTGATGCTGGTGGAAGGCTTTAAATCCAAGGAATTATATCTCCACTTCCTTGGATTAAACCTGATTACCTTCCCTTCCCCAGGCACTGTATTGCCCTTCTGGGTCCAGGGCTTAATAAGACTAGTCAGAAATTCGTATGTGAGTTCTTGTTTTTGAGAGATGTGTATCTATGGTTCCTCTGATTTATCTTTATTCTTGGTGAGCCGAGTCATTTGCTATCATTTGCTAGGCTTGGCTGCACGTACCTGCTTCTACAGGTAATGCATGAAGTTTTATCCAAAGCACAATATAGTGGTGAAGGTCTTATAGATTCCTTGCAACGCAAGAGTGTTCAGGTATAACCCATGCGGCGGGAAAATTGGACACAGAATGGAGGGCATCTGTTTAATTTGGCCGTTGTCGTAATCTTTGTATTTTTAATCAAAAATTGAGAATGTCACAAAAATGTCTCCAACTATGAAAAATAAGCAATAAAAATACGTATACATTTTATGGACTTTACGTATGACTTTTTAAAACCAGGAAAATCAGATGGTGTATATATAATAGAGGCCGAAGTATGAAGATCCGTTCTATTCTGTGTTCCGTTTTTTGCAACCATGGGATTTAACTGTTCACCGATCATGTGGGAGGATGTGGTTGGCACAGTTCTTAAAATTTTATGTAAAATTTTTAATTTGTGAGTTTTAAGATTGAAAAATCACTTTGGATAATGCTGTGGAATGCTGCACATGCACATACGAAGCCGATGGTAAGACCAGACCATTTAATAGACAAAACCAAAATTAAATTGTAACTACTTAAGTTTCCCTCCTGCATAATTGACTTGCTGAATTATTTTGGTATAATTCAGCTTTTGCATGATTGTATTTCAGAGCTTTATGCTAGTATTTATTAGTACTAAGTTGCAGTTATTGTTCTATTATACTAAAAATGACGAGTTTTTCTTAGAATCCAAAAATATAATTATAGAATTTAAATCAGTGTATGCAAGGGCTCTTGGCCTTCTAGTTTGGGCATTTAAAGTCATAGCTTAGTTAAGAGTACCGATTTTTAAGTCAGCATCGGCCCCTCCATGCTTAAGTAATCCACTGGTCTAACCACCGGCCGCACCTGACGCCCGGGTCACCTTTTACAGATCTCGTGAGCCGTTCCTCCGTAGTACCACGGCGCCACGAGGGGGCGTCCACCCCTCAGGCTGCCCCCCGATCACCCAGGTACGTATTCCTGCACTACATGTTATACCCTTGCATTCCACCATCACTCATTGCATTGTATTCCAGCATATCCCTGTCACTGCCTTGTATTCCAGCACACCCGTCACTCACTGCCTTGTAGTCCAGCACACCCATCACTCACTGCCTTGTAGTCCAGCACACCCATCACTCACTGCCTTGTAGTCCAGCACACCCATCACTCACTGCCTTGTAGTCCAGCACACCCATCACTCACTGCCTTGTATCCAAGCACACCCCAGTCACACTGTATCAGTTACGGTATTATGCCTTTCTGTTCCACTATGTTCATGGTATAAAAATGCACGAGCAACACTAGGACACATTAGAAGTGAGCAAGGTCCCAGGATGGAAATGTCCTAGTGTTTGCCCACATCCTTTTTACACTACCCTCCTCATCACTCACAGGTATTCGTGGTTCCCTTCCACGTTACTCATAGTTCGTGTACCATTTGTCTACCAGCAACTGTAGTTATTCATGAAATTCTTCACCAAATTCAAACTTATTTATTTCTTTGCAAGTAATACACTGCAGTTATGTATTTACAATAATGGGTTGCAGTCAAAGAGAGCCTCTATTATGCTTAGGCATTATAGGCCGATTTAAAACTTCTGTTATTTTCATCTGTGTGCACACAACGTGAATCAATAAAAATAGCTAAATTTATTAACATTTGATGAATAATAACTAAAAATTCATTGAATTCTTGAATAAGAATTAATATCTTATATTTATTCATAATATATTAGGCTTTTACAACTTGTGTGCGAACACTACTCAAAATTGTTTATATCAAGAATATACTTACAACTATCATTTTCTAGCTGTATGACCCTTGTAGGTTTAGCACTTCTTTTTGATTATATAATCTTATTGCTAGTTGTAGAGGCTAGCTATCATCTTCTAGTATACCTTTCCTTATTGCTAGTTGTAGAGGCTAGCTATCATCTTCTAGTAATACCTTTACTAAACATTATTATTGCATCTTACCTTTCGTTGTATTTTTGAATTAGTCAATGAATGTTTATATTTTTAAATAAATTTGCCATTATAAAACGATTGTTATAAAAATCAGTATAAATTGTCAGTGTTTTTTTGCTTTGGCAATGGCTTATTAAGTTTTTTTTTGTTTGTTTGTATGCTAGTGTGCCATTTTAGTGTTAGGAATGTTTCAATCCTGCTATAAGTTTGTTAGAACCATTATGTGTCTCCCAAATTTGTGGCCCTTCCAAAGGATCAACATGACGAGGTAATTAATTTAGGTTACCTTAAGCACTGTAGTGGGTCAACGTGTGCTCAGATGTGAAACATTTTGTCCGCAGGGTAGCTGTTCGAACTCCATCGGGCAAAATCTCGCCTTCCAAGTGCGACATTGGCAAGCGCAAGTCTCGACTGGGACTGAATGCGGAGGATGGTGTTGACGGAGACGACAAAATACAGGAGTTGTCCTTTGAGTCTCCCCCACCGTCACCTTGTGTGAAAGCTGTGGTGGAGAAGTCAAACTCCGTCTCCTTTATCCTAGATCTGACCGACACTCAGTTAGACGACAGTTTTTTAGACCTGCCCCAATCGCCCAGACCTCGGCCGCAGCGGACAGCATCTCTGAGCGCTGTTGATCGTCCACGCACACCCACGCACATACGTAGAGTCATTCATAACAATCGAGCAAATACCCCAAATAAAAATGGATTAAATGCAGAAGGTAAACCAAGTGATATAAATGGAAAGCCACAAGAAACAAATAGAAAAACAAAAGAGACGACTGAAAAACCCAAATTAGCGAATGGGAAGTCCCTCGATACCAACGGGCACGGCAGTCGTCCAGGGTCTAGGAGAACCACTTCAGAGAGCAGTGAAGGAGGCAGCGAAATGGAAAGAATATCTCCGACTGGTTTGGCATGGACTGTTCCTGTCCATCCACCCAAATCACCTTCTAAAGTAAATGCTCCACGTCAGAACGGATCACCAGTGAGAGGCAGGCTAGAGCACCACCTTTTGGAAGACCCAGATGAGGATGAGTATGAAGAAACTCCAAGTGGTACTCATCAGTTCATTGAAGTTGTGGAACTGTCTGGAGTTGGTCTGACCAGCAGCTCTGAGGCTGCCAGTGACTCTGAGCTTTCTCAGTGTGACATCATAAAGGGAGGATCCTCTACAGATTCTGACAGTGACAGTAGTGATGGTGAACGACATAGCAAACCAGGGTCTACCCACCAACCCCTCGGTCGGAAGAATGGACCATGGTGTCCAAAGGACGGTGCAGGTGAGGCCATGATTACCGATGATCTGTTAAAACAATATACTGGCGACCCATTGACGCTGGAACCACTCCCTAGTCGAGGAAAGCGACCCGTCAGGAGACGAGTCTCTTCTGCACCGTCTTCCGATTCTGACGACAACACTACAAATCCTCACAACGACAGAAATAACATGGATGTCAGCTGGTCAGAGGATGTGGACATCACTTCAAGCTCGGAAATGCACGAGCTGTGATGTCTTGGCTAACCTTCTCCTCCCTCCCGACCGACCGACACGACGAACGACTAAAACACTGCCACAGCTTTCTGACTTGCCGTGATACAAGTGATCTCTGAGATGGTACAATCTCCTTTGTGCAGATATCAATCCTAATTGACCTTATGCACTACAGCCTTTGTCTTTGGTTAATGAGTGTGAGGGACTTGCCTCACATTAGATGACTTGCCAATGCCATTCACTAGATGAATCACTTGTTGGCCAGTTTGTGTTGTGTTTATTTTCTAGTCAAGCTGTGCTTGTTCACAGATACGACCACACCGCCACCCTCCTCCCCTAGTTACAGTAAACTCTAGAGGGAAGTGGGTGTTTTCTCCCAATGTTCTCATAGCCTCTGTAAGAACATTATGGGGTTGTGTTTTTGCCTTACGAGACCTATGGTTTAGTCGCTTCTCGTGACTTCCGTGTAACAAAGAGAAATTAATTCTAGGAGATTGTTTTAACACAATAAGTCCACTAATTCAATGTTGAGGAATACCACAGCCCACTTAATGATACAATGGTTGTATGACACTGCAGTTGGTTGTACAGTATTCCCATTTAACTGAAAATATTGCATATAGTACATATATACTGTATATCACACGCACTATATTGTAATATATCTGAGAAAAGCATGATGTATCTACAAATTAAGAGCTTATATCCTGTCAAATTTCCAGAATGTAATTTATTACATGCACAATGAAAAGCGCAAAAAAATTGTTTGTATAACATATTTAAGTTACTTGATATGCCAGTTTGTCAACAATGGTAAATTGAATTTCTAGTAAACGATCCATCGGGCAAGCTATGCTGAGCAGTGATGTAACTAACTCGTACATGCCTTCAATTGTTGCTCTGTGTCTTCAGTTGCTGTTATGGTTAGTTCTTGTTATACAGAAGTCCTTGATTAATGTTGCAGTTCTGCAAAGTGAAGTGTTAACCAGAGCAACATCGAGTGGAACTTGAGATGTTGCAGTCAGGCACAACGACACTGTCTGTGGAACAACATTAACCGAGAACCTCGTGTACCAGACAGTTGTGCTCCTTGTTAATATATAATGTCAAATATTGAATCTTGTCATTTGCCACGGATGACCCTATTACTCCTATACATTATACATAATGGCAACTGAAGATACATGCAGTGGCCAGGATATTTGTCTACAAAAAATAAATTTATGGCCATTTCTGTATACCATTAGCAGGAACACATACAAGTCTACATATGCAATGTGGTGCCATGCAATACCTGTTTTTTCTACCCAGTGTGCAAAGTGCTAACAGTCATAGGGCTCATTAGGTCAGTCTGTCAAGGTAGTCAGGGTTAGTTGACTGTGGTCTTGACGATTTTGTGCTTTTTTAGGAAAAACTGGCTCTTTTTACTTGTTTTTTTGCAAATAAGGGAGACAGCCAGGCATGCATTTCCTGGGAAGCATGAAATTGAAAATGTTGCAAATGTAGTGGAGATAAAATCTTATAAACTGTTTTTTTTATTATTTTTGCAGATAGTGACCACTATTGCCCTATTATTAGTGTGTCTTGGGTTTTCTAATGATTTAAGAATACTACAGCAATCTTTATGATAAGTTCAAAGCCCTAATGTGATGTTTTTAACATCTATATTACTACCCAGCTATTAAGTTTAAAACCCCGATGTGATCTTACTGTAGGATATAGAAATAAAGCAAAGCTCGAATTCTCTCTCATTAACCCCCAAAATTGTTTTATTACACAGCCACTCCTCATTTAGTGATGGCTCTGACTAGTATGCATACCTAAATGAGTCTGTTAAATAATCTATATTAAGCCAATTTCCTCTATACAGTACACTACTGTATAAACACTAGAAATGTTGCAAAGATGACATTAAAACAATTAAAGATGGTTAATAAACCCACTACCATTATATTATGATCCACTCTTAGCCATGAATTCATTTATTGATGTGTTTGTTAGGAATGCAACTCTGTTCTTAATCGAGGAGAGGGAGTGTAGTGTCAAGACACAGCAACTACTTAACTGTCCAAGTCGAAGCAAAATCTCATTGAAGATGTTGGTAGAATTACCAATAATATTTTAAGTAAAATGACAATATCCTTGTAAGCAGATGTTAATCCATTCCACTAAGGTGGAGACAACTCAGGAAGGAATATATTAACTTGCAAAGCTTGGTTTACAAAGACTATTAACATATCTAGGCAGACTAATTCTTGCTCTATATTGACAGGTTATGGATCAAGTAATGCCATAGGAATTGTGTCTGTGGGTCATGTTGCAATTATCAAGGAATCATTAGAATTTATGGTTCTGTACAATAAATTTAGGTCTTTGAGGATCAACAGCTGTTAATCCTCTAAGCACTAATAATAGAGTGATTGTGGTAGACTTGGTACTATCTTCATCCACAAGGTAACCTACAATGGCTATCAAGATTTATTTAATTAGCAGAACCATTAATTCACCAGAGAAAGCAAGAATTCAAAATTGACAGACTTAGTCTTATTTTCATCCAGCATGAATTAAAATGTCAATTATGATAATTAGTACTAAAAGACCGTCTAGTCATGAACTTCTCAATGTCATAAGTACATAAACAAATAACCCACGCATAAAAAAGAGAGAAGCTTACGACGACGTTTCGGTCTGGCTTGGACCATTTACAAAGTCACACTAACCAGAAGTGGAGCAGGACGGCTATATGGTATATATATATATATATATATACCATTCTTGTAGTAGTACAAGAATGGTATATAATACCGACAAGATGAAATTAAGACACATGCGCAACACCTAGGCATCCCTATCGTAGACGTTTCGCCATCCAGCCAGCCACTGGATGGCGAAACGTCCACAACAAAGACAAGCAGACGCCACACATGTCTCAATTTCATCAGTAATTGTAGTGGTAGAAGTGGGAAATAAGGAGGACGAGCCAGTCAAATACAAAGGAAGGGGAGCACTGCAAGAGAGCAAGCGCACAGAGGTGCGTGAAAGGGGAAGTGGGAAATAAATGAAGGAACAGAAACACGAGACAAGAGAGAGAAAGACAACCCAGAGGAGAAAAAGAAAAAATGAGGAGTCAGGTTAAGTCACGGGTGTTCTGAAGTTTGGAGCATTTTACAATGTAGTGGGAGAGGAAGGCTTCTACAGAGATGAAGCCAGGACTAAGGTTCATATAAGGAAAGTTGTGTATTAGAGAGGATTCATCTAGACGGCGACTGTTCGAGTTGGAAGTAGGGAAGACAGTTTTAGCAAAGACCAGTCAATAGGATGGCTATGATCTCTGACGTGACAGAGAAGAGCATTGTTAGTGTCGGCAAGCCTAACACTATTTTTGTGCTCCTTAAGTCTGTCAGAAAGAGATCAACCAGTTTCACTGAAGTATTGAAGAGGACAGGAGGAGCAAGAAATAGAGTAGACACCAGGAATATTTGTAGAGGTATGAACAAGATTAGTGCGAAGAGTGTTAGTCTGGTGGAAGGTAAGCTTCATGTCTGAAGGACGGAGAGAATTGTTGAGATTAGAAAGACCGGAAATGTAGGGAAGGCAGAGGATAGAAGAGTTCCCAGGAGTAGAGAGTTTGGGAGAGAAGAAATTGCATTTAGCACGTGAGAAGGCAGAGTCTATGAAATGGGAAGGGTAGCCAAGACGGGAGAACGAATTATGAAGAGTGGAAATTTCTGCTGGAAGGAACTGAGGATCACAGATACGGAGAAAGAGGGAGATAAAAACATTTTTCTTGACAGGGAAAGCATGATAGGAAAAGTAGTGAATGTACATGCCACTGTGCATAGGTTTTCGGTAAACGGAAAAAGGAAAAACCTGTATCTGAGCGGTGGACATGGACATCAAGGAATTAGATTCCCATTCAGCTTTAAACTTAATGGAAGGGGCAAGATTATTAAGAGCTTCAAGAAAAGGTTGGAAGAGACTGGAGTCATGAGGCCACAGAGCAAAGATGTCATCCACATAGCGGAGCCAGAGTGAAGGTTGCACATCGAGGGTAGGAAGAACAGTCTCGAAGTACTCCATGTAAAGATTAGCAAGGACAGGAGAGCCCATAGCAGCACCGAAGGTTTGAGAATAATATTTCCCTTGGAAGGAAAAGGAGTTAGAGTCCACACAGAGACGGATAAGATCAAGAAAGACATCAGTACATATAGGAGATGAAGAAACCCTTCATGGGCCTTCTCTCTAAGGAAATCAAGGGGGGACATTGGTGAAGAGGGACTCAACGTCAAGACTAAGCATCTTACAGGTTGGGAGAGAGCAAACCCATTCAATGAAGTCTTGAGAGTGACGGAGGTGGGCAGGAGAAAAAAGTACCAAGAAAGGGAGTGAGGGTTTTGGCCAGCCAAGAAGCAAGAGAATAAGAGACAGAACCTCTAGAGGATATGATAGGACGAAGCGGAATATCAGGTTTATGAGTTTTGGGAAGGCCATATGACACGAAACCGTTGAACAAGGTCAAAGTCAGGAGGACAGAGGTCGGAGAGAGTCCTTAGTTTTTTGTTGAAAGTTCTCTTGATGCGATCAAGAGGGTTGGAAACGAGAGGAGTGTAGGTACGTGAGTCAGAGAGCAAGACATCAGCTTTACGGAGGTAATCCTCGCGTAGTTATCCTTGAATGCGAGGATTATCTCCGTAAAGCTGATGTCTCTCTCTGACTCACGTACCTACACTCCTCGTTTCCAACCCTCTTGATCGCATCAAGAGAACTTTCAACAAAAAACTAAGGACTCTCTCCTCCTGACTTTGACCTTGTTCAACGGTTTCGTGTCATCTGTCCCTCTCTTCCCTATTTCTATGGCCTTCCCAAAACTCATAAACCTGATATTCCTCTTCGTCCTATCATATCCTCTAGAGGTTCTGTCTCTTATTCTCTTGCTTCTCGGCTGGCCAAAACCCTCACTCCCTTTCTTGGTACTTTTTCTCCTGCCCACCTCCGTCACTCTCAAGACTTCATTGAATGGGTTTACTCTCTCCCAACCTGTAAGATGCTTAGTATTGATGTTGAGTCCCTCTTGATGATGTCCTTGATTTCCTTAGAGAGAAGGCCCATGAAGGGTTTCTTCATCTCCCTATACCTACTTATGTCTTTCTTGATCTTATCCGCCTCTGTGTGGACTAACTCCTTTTCCTTCCAAGGGAAATATTATTCTCAAACCTTCGGTGTTGCTATGGGCTCTCCTCTCTCTCCTGTCCTTGCTAATCTTTACATGGAGTACTTCGAGACTGTTCTTCTTCCTACTCTCGATGTGCAACCTTCACTCTGGCTCCGCTATGTGGATGACATCTTTGCTCTGTGGCCTCATGACTCCAGTCTCTTCCAACCTTTTCTTGAAGCTCTTAATAATCTTGCCCCTTCCATTAAGTTTAAAGCTGAATGGGAATCTAATTCCTTGATGTCCATGTCCACCGCTCAGATACAGGTTTTTCCTTTTTCCGAAAACCTATGCACAGTGGCATGTACATTCACTACTTTTCCTATCATGCTTTCCCTGTCAAGAAAAATATTTTTATCTCCCTCTTTCTCCATGCCCTCCGCATCTGTGATCCTCAGTTCCTTCCAGCAGAAATTTCCACTCTTCATAATTCGTTTTCCCGTCTTGGCTACCCTTCCCATTTCATAGACTCTGCCCTCTCACGTGCTAAATGCAATTTCTCTCCCAAACTCTCTACTCCTGGGAACTCTTCTATCCTCTACATTTCCGGTCTTTCTAATCTCAACAATTCTCTCCGTCCTTCAGACATGAAGCTTACCTTCCGCCAGACTAACACTCTTCGCACTAATCTTGTTCATACCTCTACAAATATTCCTGGTGTCTACTCTATTTCTTGCTCCTCCTGTCCTCTTCAATACTTCAGTGAAACTGGTTGATCTCTTTCTGACAGACTTAAGGAGCACAAAAATAGTGTTAGGCTTGCCGACACTAACAATGCTCTTCTCTGTCACGTCAGAGATCATAGCCATTCTATTGACTGGTCTTCTGCTAAAACTGTCTTCCCTACTTCCAACTCGAACAGTCGCCGTCTAGATGAATCCTCTCTAATACACAACTTTCCTTATATGAACCTTAGTCCTGGCTTCATCTCTGTAGAAGCCTTCCTCTCCCACTACATTGTAAAATGCTCCAAACTTCAGAACACCCGTGACTTAACCTGACTCCTCATTTTTTCTTTTTCTCCTCTGGGTTGTCTTTCTCTCTCTTGTCTCGTGTTTCTGTTCCTTCTTCATTTATTTCCCACTTCCCCTTTCACGCACCTCTGTGCGCTTGCGCTCTTGCAGTGCTCCCCTTCCTTTGTATTTGACTGGCTCGTCCTCCTTATTTCCCACTTCTACCACTACAACTACTGATGAAATTGAGACATGTGTGGCGTCTGCTTGTCTTTGTTGTGGACGTTTCGCCATCCAGTGGCTGGCTGGATGGCGAAACGTCTACGATAGGGATGCCCGGTCTTAATTTCATCTTGTCGGTATTATATACCATTCTTGTACTACTACCACCACCTCTTCCTGCCTATATATAGCCGTCATGCTCCACTTCTGGTTAGTGTGACTTTGTCAATGGTCCAAGTCGGACTGAAACGTCGTCGTAAGCTTCTCTCTTTTTTATGTGTGGGTTATTTGTGTATCATTCCAGTCACGGTATTGTGCCTTTTTTTTTTTTTGTTATTCATAAGTACATACTAT